CAGTCATATGACTAAAAAAACATTATTATTTTATGCTTCCATGTTATAGACTAGAATAAATTACCCGATTTTATCGGGATAATATTGTCGGTTTTTTGCGATAATTTCTAACTGCTATTGCACAAATTTATCCCAATTTATAACGTTTAAAATGTAATGATATTTACGCAACTAGCATTAAGTTTTAAGAAGTGTTAATCTGCTATATGATACGCGTACTTTACACCATTTAACGCTCCTGAACTACTTTCCCCCCTCTAAACATGACCTTAAATTATCCAGTCTAAATTATCCCTCATTATATCACTTTTGTCACTAAAGAAGTTAGTTGAGGGACAATTACTACCCAAGAGAAATACTTCAGATTTTCCCCTTTTCGCGCCATTGAATAACAACTTTTTACTCTCAAATTTAAAATAAAAACATAATCTTAAATTTACAACAAAAACTATATAGTAATAATGGTACGACGCATTCAACGTGTGAACGAACTTAACGAATTGGTCAATCCAAGTAGACTTAGTAGTTGACACAAATAATTCTTGATCCCTTCTGGGAGGATTGTCTACCTTATTTTCCATTTAATGCATATTGGCTGTGTTGCTCAGGGTTGAAATGGGTAGAAAGACTTTGATATTGTATGCTTGTAATTAGTTTTAGTAGTGTTGCGTTTGTTTTAAATGTGGTAAATTATAGATTTTTTTTTTTTTACTCTTGTACCGCGCTTCGAGCCCTTGGGTATGAAGCGTGTTTTTGAAATACACTTTATTATTATTATTATTATTTGATATAGTAGAGTCTCCAAGAAATATAATATCTTAACTTATTTAAAGAACTAGAACTATTACCGTGAAAAAATGACGACTATTTTCATCAGCTTTAATATTTTCATGTTCAGCCCAACTTAAACTCAGAAATACAAACAAAACTTAATAATAATGCGACGAAATGATAGGAATATAAAAAGGTAGACAATGCTATTTTCTGTGCATGAAATATTTTGTAAAATTATCTCTCTTGGTAACACAATTTTTTTTCACAGTACAATAACCATTTTAAGAAATATATCAATTATATTATGAAAATTAAATTAATTTTAAAAATTGTCTTTTTTCTTTACAGGAATTCAAATTTAATATTTCAATGAAAGGTAATGATGTTGGTGTTAAATATCTAATAAAACCGTAACTAAAAGTTTTATGCTAAACTGGCTTCTGGTGTAGATATTTATCGCTTGAAAAAGAATGGATTAAATATAATAAATTAGAAACTTAAATCTTACTGCTTTTTTCTCACCTAGCTGAAGAGACATATACCTGACAATGTTTTAAATCTGTTAGTATCTGGTCGTGTGTCTGCGAGATTATTTATTAAGTTGGTATCTGGCCTTGTAACTGTGATATCATTTAGTCTGTTGGTATTTGGTATTTGTTTATATAATTGAGTCTGTTGGAATCTGACCATGTACATCTGGTATCATTCAGAGTTCGTATCTAGGATACGTGATCCCACTCCTCACATTCGCTAAATTGTGTGCCTTTGGTTTGACATTTACACAAATCCCTATATTCGGTTGGGTGAAATTCTTCCAGCACCAGCAATGGATGGTATGCGAAGGGGAAATAAAATACCCCGAGGCGAACACACAGCCTTGAAGAACACACAGCCTTGAAGAACACACAGCCTTGAAGAACACACAGCCTTGAAGAATACACAACCTTGAAGAACACACAGCCTTGCAGACACACAGCCTTGCAAGTCTCACTAACTTGCAGAACACACAGCATTGCAGAATACACAACCTAGCAAGTCTCACTGCCTTGCAAGAAGTGAAAGGCTCCTCAAACCTAAAGGATAAGAAAGCTCACCCGATACAAACAGCATCTTCCGAGTCGTATGCAGAGCTAAAGAGAAAAAAAAAGAAGGAATCACTATTGACTCCTGTGTCACAATTCTCGCCCAACACTATTCACTCCTCTGTCACAATTCTCGCCCAACACTATTGACTCCTCTGTCACAATTCTCGCCCAACACTATTGACTCCTCTGTCACAATTCTCGCCCAACACTATTGACTCCTCTGTCACAATTCCCGCCCAACACTATTGACTCCTCTGTCACAATTCCCGCCCAACACTATTGACTCCTCTGTCACAATTCTCGCCCAACACTATTAATTGCGTGTTGTGAAAGACATGGAGGCACCGCGGCTCCATACCTCTGTGTTTGTCGAAACGCGACGAAAACGGTACAAACTCAACGCTTTATATTTCTCCAATCTTTTTTTTCCCGGAACCCTTGGAAGTCGATCCGACAAACGTCGGCATCAAATTAGCGGCATCATATTTCATTCATCTTCGTCTTCAAAAAACAGGAAGAACTGATTTTTGGGGTGTTGGAGACAGGAGGCTGGGGCTGAAATATAAAAGAATGTAGTTGTCACCGGTAACGACTCTTTGTGCCAAGTGTAAGCTCGATAGGTTGAGTAGAAGTGGGTTAAGTTGTTGTCCGAACGACTGGCCAGACAGCTACACATAAAAAGGGAAATTAATATTAAACGATTTAATAATAATAATAATAATGATAATTACAATAATAATAAAAAAAATATAACAATAATAATAATAAAGATAAAAAAATTAAAATTTTAATTTAAAAAAAAAAAGTACACATTTCTTAATATTCGATCCTTACTTGTAAGGACGCAACACCAAATTATTCTCGCCATCCCTCCGTGGACCTCCCCTCCTTCCGCCCCCACTCCCCTCCAATAGCAATTGAGTCATCTCTTTGTCTCATTCCCTCTTCCTGCTTCTCTGTTATCTTCCCCCTTCCTTTTCCCTCTATCCTTCCTCCCATGTCCCTATATAAATATATCATTGACAGATCTCCGTCTTACTAAATTAAATCATCCTATTTGTGAGGCTTTAACCTTTCAAACTACTTTGTTGTGTTTACAACATGTCTGCTGACTTAGACTTCATCTCAGAACCAGGTCATGCAGTGTGTTGACAGAGGCGTAGTTAGAGCGTGATTAAGCTACAAGCAAGTTTAATATTGCTAATTAACCAACCCCCCATCCCCACTCCCAAACCAAACCTTTTAACTATGAAACTCAATATTTTTATTCATTAAAAAATTTCGGGTTATTTGTCAATGTTATATGTTAGAATTGCTAGTGCTATTTTATGAAACAATTTATTTACGATAAATTTTAGTTATTGATTTTTTAAACTTTTTTTTCATGAATAAAGTAAAGAAATGTTAAGAAAAAAGCAAGGGCTGACAAGCATGCATTTCCTACCTTCAAATAGAAAAGCATTGAACTTCAAGCATGCATGTCTGACCTTCAAATAGAAAAAAAAACCATTGACCTTTAAGCCTGCATGTCTATCCTTTAAATAGAAAAGTATAAAGTATTGACCCTCAAGCATGTATGTCTGACCGTCAAATTAAAAAAAAATGACCTTCAAGCATGCATCTCTGACATTCAATGTGTGTTATACATACCTTATATTGTCTGGAATATATGTGTGGTCTGGATATATTTGTTGTTTTGAAATACATGTGTGTTGTAGATATCTTAGTTTGCATGGAATATATGTGTTTTGTAGATGCCTTTTTAAATGGAATATATGTGTTTTAGATATCTTTGTTTGTCTGAAATACATGTGTGTTATGTATATCTTTGTTTGCATAGAATATGTGTGTTATGCAGATATATGTTTTGCATGAAATATAAAATGTTTGTTGTAGATATATGTTTGTCTGGACTATATGCATGTTGTAGATATCTTTGTTTGCATTTAAATGTTTTAACAATTAACATATCCTGTGTTCCAAATGTGATCGTATTATTCTAGTTGACTATTTAAGTTGGTATAAAATAAAATAATATGATTTGCAAATTAGAATTCCGAGGCGGCCCTATTACAACACTACGGAACTGTAGCATCCATATATAAACTAGTATTGTTATTGTTATTATATTATGTATTGCGAAACTTGTTGAATAATTTCTATCTTCAATACTTGTAAATGTGATGTACTATCACAATTTATTTGTTTAAAATCACTCTTTTACCAGTCGTCCTCAATGCCATAGATACAGTTTGAAGTATTTTATCTTCAGGCTCGTATCACAATATATTTTTTTCTGTTGGTCAATGTGTTTTGATTTGCGCTAAAAAATAATAATAAAATTACCGTAAACATTTCCTGAAGCAGCATCCCCCCTCCCCACTAACATAAGTCATGAGCCGCCCTGTGCTAATTTGTTTTTCTCAACTCACAAACCAACCTTTAAATCTGACATAAGTTTATTGATTGTCTCTTAAGTTTATTCGAATTGAAAAGTCGGACAATTGTATAATACGTGTCTTCTAGATTCTCAAATAGGGTCAAGTGTACTGGCATATTAGATGATACTGACCATTTTTAAATCTTTACATACTGGCGTTGTGTATGTCATTGGTGGATGCTGTTCATGTGTCCCTCTAATCCGTAATGACATTTTGAAACCATTCCAGCGTACCTCATAACCATGACTATCTATTTAAACTTTCAAGAATATCGCATATCCGTCACATCCCATTGAAACTTACCAGCTTATCTTACCTCCGTGAAATTTCATTTAAGCGTGACCCTGTATTTAATATATCATTGTTATCTTTATTTGATCTGAATCTATTCTAAAATTTAATTTTTTTTTTTTTTAAATGCCCCATTAAAATCGATGTTCAATTTCATTCCTAGAAGAAAATGTTTTACCTGCCGGATGTAAGACATGAACTAGGGCCACTTAACTAATTTTATAAATAACTTTTAAACTATTTTTTTGTTTGTTTGAAGATCAACCTTTACAAAAGAAGTAATTCTCCAAGAGTTTGAGAACCTCTCTGGTGAGCTAGACAGTCTGAATTGAAATGTCAATAATTTTGATAGACAGTTAAATGTTTAAGTGCAGTCTGACAAATCACTTGGTATCATTTCAATCGGCAAATGAAGACACGCTTTTTCGGGTTAGAATTTCACCTTAGTCCAGCACCAAGCCTGTTTTGGTGAGTAAATTAAATACACATGAACATTGATAGTTTTTATTGCCTATTAGATGCATAAATGCAATTTTCAGACAGAATTTACAAAGAACGTCATTACAAAGAAATCAGCATTCTGGCTCAGAAAAGCCTTGCTTAGAACAGTCTTGAGAACAACAGCCCGCTTCAGAATAAGTTGTCGGAGAACAGCCTAGATAAGACCTAACTGCCTCAGAATAGCCTGCATCAGAGCACAATTCATCGACAAGGCCTACCACAGAACAGCCTGCATCAGAAACTCTGTTTTAGAACAGACTGCAACTGAACGGCCTTTTTCAGAAAAACCATTATCTGTAATGGCGTGCCTAAGATTAGCCTTCACCAGAATCAAATTGTATCAGAACAGGCTGCCTCATAACAGAACTCCACTAAACGGCGTGTCTCAGAACAGTTATAGAACAGCCTAAATCAGAATAGCCTAACCCCAAACAGCCTAGCTCTAAAAAAATTTCTCACAACAGCCTGAATCACACCATCCCGCATCAGAAAAAACAGCCTTTGAACAGCTTGATACAGATTAGACTGAATCAGAACAACCTGCATACAGGAATTCCTGCCTCAGAAAATTCTGCTCCAGAACGGCCAGCCTCATAACAGCGTGCCCCAGATCAGCCGCTCTCATTCTAGCATTCGTCAGAATAGCCTGCCTCGTAACAGCCTGCCCCAGATCAGCCGCTCTCATTCCAGCATTCGTCAGAATGTCCTGCCTCATGACAGCCTGCCCCTGATCAGCCGCTCTCATTCTAGCATTCGTCAGAATAGCCTGCCTCATGACAGCCTGCCCCTTAAAAGCCGTTCTCGTACCAGCATTCGTCAGAAATGCCTGCCTCGTAACAATATGTATTAAAAGGTGAGCATCCTGGTCGCAAAACAGTCGGCTCAGATAAATCTTCAAAAAGACAAACTGTTTTAGAAAAATCTGCATCAGAAAAGCCTTGCTCAGAACAGCCAGCCTAAGAACAATCTATTTAACAACAGTCTGCCTTAGAACGTCTGCCACAAAAAAATATAAATTAAAAGACCGCATTCAAGCCTAGTAAATGAATAAAATAGCAAAACGCGGTATGAGGAAGCTTGACTTAGAGAACAGGACAAAAAGATAAGGACGTTTATGCATAAAGTTTTCGTCAGCTAATATTAGAAATGAAAATGTCACAAAGAACAGAGCACACAGAACAACTCAAGAAATATAACTTGTTGTCGCCACAAGTGGGAACACAGGAAGCGAGAGAAGATACATATTTGACACTGTGAAAAATGAGGTCCACAATAATAATGGACGGTAAACCTGGTCCGTAAAGGAAGGCCTCAGAAATTTCTGATTCATAATAGCCTGCCTTAGAACAGCATTTGTCAGAACAGCCTACCAAAGAACTGGAGATCTCACAACAGCACACCACAGAACAGCTAATCACAGAACGTCCTGCCTTACAACGGCCGGCAAAAGAACTATCTGCGTCAAATCGACATTTCTGAGAACGGAAGTCTTACAACTGCCGACTTTAGAACAGCCTGCCTTGTAAAAGCCTTTTAAAGAAAAGCCTGCAATTAAAATACCGGCCTAAGAACATTATGTTTGTCCAATAACGGCTTGTCTCATAGCAGCATGAAAAAGAACAGTCAGTCAAAAAAAAAGACTGTCTAAGAACAGCATGCAACACAAAAAATACACAGAGTAGCCTGTTTAAGAATGATTCAGAAGTGCCTGTCTCAGAACAGAATGCTTCAGGATGACATGGCCAAAAAAAAACCTGCCAAATAACAGCCTGCCTAAAATATCTTTCCACAGAATTGTCTAATACAAACGGCTGACCATAAAAGGGCCTGCATCAGACATGACTGAGTCAGAACGTCCTGTTTTACCACCTCTTATCTAAGATACCTACAACAGAACAGCCAGTAACACACACGCCTGCGCTTGAAAATCCTGACTGAGAACAGCCTTTCTTATAACAACCTACCTAAGAATGGACGGCCATACTATAAGGCAGCCTGTCACTAAAAGCTTTCAAAGAAAAAAAGTTTCTCAGAATACCCTAAAGCCAAACAGAGTAGCTCTGGAAAGCCTTAATAAAGCCTGCCTCAGAACAACCTGTCTCGAAACACTAGCTCTTTGAATGCAACCAAGAGCTACGGTAGATCTACTTAAGTCATCGGATGAATTAAACTATTATCGTTTCTGCACCTGCATGAAATCCCCCGTTTCTAGAAATTTAATAACAGAGCCATGTCAAGATGACATAGAGCTTAGGCCCGCAACCAAAAATGTTAGGTTTTATAAATTAATATGTTTTAATATCGCTAATTGAACAATAAGTCACAAATGACTAACACACAATGACCAACGGTATATGCTAAATGTCAAAAGACAACCTACACATTCTAAATGTCATCGATTATAAAAAAGGGACAAATTCATGATACTCACTTCTATAAGAACGACTGTGTTGCAAAATATTGCGGTCCAAAGAATAAAATCTTCCAAATGTAACGTTCGAGAAACTCCAAGATTATGCATCCATCGGACATTAAAAAAAATTAAAAAATCACAATCCGCTGCAACAAAGTTAAAGTCAAAATTTTCAAGCAAAATGTTAAATATTGAGACAAGCTGGAATATCCAAATTTCTCCACAAACTATTGTCGACATATTTGTTCATAGCCGTACACATTTCCTGAAACATAAAAGAAAGAAGGAGAGGTAGCGACATACATCTCCAAGGTAAATCGCCGCTTGAGTGAAATGACTGACATCGTCAGCCAGCAAAGCAAAAGATATCTCAATAAGTTGAAACCTACGTACTAAAAAGCACTCAAGCCATAGATATTCGTTAAAAAAAACATGCAGCGAATATATAGTTGCACCCACGCTATCTGAATCCAATATGTCGTTTCCTCGAACAAAACAAAATGATGGAAAAAAGTCATTAGATGATGCGCTAAGTATGAAATCAAGAATCACAACAAGCAACATGGGCAAGATAGAAGTTTTCGACTAGATCGCCAGTCGGATCCACGTTGCTTTATCGCAAACACATAAAATGAAGCTGCCATTGAGTTGTTAAGCTAAGATGATGAGTCATTTTTTATTAAATTTGGCATCCTCATGTATTAAAAAAAAATAATACGGATAGAAATCAAAAGGTCATCAACATCTTAAGCCTAAATATGAATTCAAAGACTTACACAGGCCCGTTTCCATGCGGAGAACACAGGTAGCAGCCAAATGGAGAGTGCAAAGTATACGGTGAACCTGGATGGCAGCCAAATTGAGAGTGGAAAGTGTACGGTGAACCTAGGAAACAGCCAAATTGAGAGTGAAAAGTGTACGGTGAACCTGGGAAACAGCCAAATTGAGAGTGGAAAGTGTACGGTGAACCTGGGAAACAGCCAAATTGAAGGTACGAAGCGTAATAAGTAGCTACGGAAATCGTTTTCGTTCAAAGCTCAACATGGAATATTTGAAATTGGCACTGACAATGATACGCACTGTGTTAAACCAATCATGAGCGCTGATATATTAACATGGCAATATTTTGTAGATTCTTATTTTGCAGGTGTAAACATAAGTCTTGAACTACATTCAACCAACAATCAGTACAGAAGAATGTTTTAGTGGCTCAATATTTTTTTTTTTTACAAAAGCGATCACAACTGCTGGCAGCGCAGTTTTGATGTCTTAAGGATTCGAAAGATCGTTGAGAAACCTGTAAGGACACTGCTAACATACAATATATCTATTCCCATCGTTTGGCTGGTTTGATCTCACGATTTCATTCACAGTTAACCATAAATCGCTAGCAATCAATGAGAATTTGCATGCAGTCGAACAAAAAACAATTAATTTTTTTGCCCAAGATTACGATAAAATTGGAAACATTAATGTGTGACTTGATATTTTGCATTGCTTCTTAAGAAACAAAATATTTCGTATACATCAATGAATTCCAAATTATGAGATGCTTCATATGAGATAATATTTTTTTACTTAAGGCTTACCATACGTTCTTATTTATGTGATTTTACTCTCAAGAGAAAGGTTTAGAAACTGGATAGCAAGTCGATAATTTTGAAAGTGCCAAAAATCCTGCTAAATAAAGGTGTACTAGTTATGCTGCTAAGAACTCCCAATGCAAGGCAGAGGGTGTGTAACATTACATGAATGCTTGTAATGTGTTTTAAAACAACTTCATCACTGTAGAAATTATTACCTAATCAATCGTGCTTACACCGTATTACTGCCGCGAAGTGAATTGCGCCGATCATCACTACTCTATCCTTTATTTTCCATCGTCGACAATGCCCCAACAATACGAATTATGCAATAATCATGAACAAATCAACACCAGTAACAGAAACATTGCAAATCCCATCTACATGCATAGGAGCCAACATGATCAATAAATTGATCGTGGGCCCTTAAGATATAGAAGAAGAAGAAGAAATCTCAATGAAAAAATATTCATTCATGTTAAAATTGATCTTACATCTACCTTATTTATCTTATGGACAACTTTATTTAATATTGTCACAAATGTCAAGACTATGAAAATCATAAACGATTTTTTTTTCATTTATAACATATATTTTTCGTGTTGTCAGTCTATTGGCAAACCAAAGGTCGTCAGACAGAGCAGTCAACTAGTCCATCGTAATTATTCGATAGTTTTTCGACCAAGCCTGCCACCAACTTACCCATGTTGTGGTCATCTTTTATGTACAACAACATAATCATGAGATGGTCATCTATTAAGTCAACCAGCTGAAACATGTTTTTTGTCTTCTAGTTGGTCCACCAACTAAATATGCGTGGGCTATCTAGTAGATGCATCAAATTAAATATGTTTTGGTTAACTAGTAGGTCCACCAACTTATCCATGCGGTGGACATCCAGTAGATCCACACATGAAGCCATGTATTGGTCCTTTAATATGTCCACCAACTTTACCATGTGTTGGTCAATAAATAAGTTCACACACTTAACAATGTGTTTGTCATCTAGTAGGGCCCGCAATGTACCTATGCTGTTTTCATCACGGAGGTCGACAAACTTAAAAATATGATAGTCATCTTGTAGGTCCTCCAACTTAAACATGTGTTAATTATCTAGTATGTCAACCAAATATACATGTTTTACTCTTCTACTAGCTTCACTAACTTCAACATGTGGTGGACACCTAGTAGGTCCTCCAACGTACCTATGAGTTGGTAATCTGGTAATCCACCAACATAAACATGTTGTGGTCATCTATTAGGTCGACTAGATCATCTAAGTTTTACTAGTTTCAGTCATCTATTTGGTCCACCAACTTAAACTTATGGTGGTCATCTATTAGTTCCAACAATTGAAACATGTGTTTGTCATCTATTAGGCCCACTAACCCTAACCATGTTGTTTTCATGTAGTAGGTCCACCAAATGAATCATGTGGTTTTTGTCTAGTAGGCTCACCAACTTACCCATATGCAGGTCGATACTGAGGAGTTTCCTGAGGCAGCTTTTGTGAAAAGTGTGTTCTTTATTGGCCTTATGCTGGTATCATGCCCACGTTTGACATCCATAGAGCATTGACGAGAGAACTGCTGTGCTACATACATTGATCTTTGTTTCTCGTCTGATGTCTCTCCTGTCCAAAACAGTGCTGAGAAGTCTAGCAAATACTGCACAGGCCCTTACGAGCAGGATATACATTTCGTCATCTGGAGAGGGTGCTGCCCAGGTAAGTAAATGTATCCACCGCGTTAAGACGCTGTCCACTGATGTTGATGTTGGAATCAACGTAGAGCTTACTGGGATCTGGCTGATACACAACTTCCGTCTTCTTTGTTTTGATTTTGAGGCCAAAGTTGTTGCAGGCATCAATGAGATATCAACGGTGTGGTGCATTGTGGCTTCTGAGACAGAGTTAAGGGCAGAAGCTTGTTGTTTGATTTCGATTTTAGCCTAAAGCAACTTAGAGTTAAAAACTGATCCAAGTTTGTGGAAACGGATAGGCAAACCCGTGGTGGAGGTATAATAAGTTTACGACTTGTTTGTTAACGTCGAAACTGTATATTTTTTAAGGTAGAAAAGAATTTTGTAAAATTTTATTTTTATACAGCATTTGGCAGTGCCCATGATATCTGTACTTTTATTAATGGTCACAACTAAGTACTTATATGCGTCAACTTTCTCTATCCTTTAAGTTTTTATGTTGAGATCAGTAATTTGGAATTGCTCCACCATAATCAAAAAACATTTAACATTGTGCCTAGACGCGCTACATTTTTTAGATTTCAGTGGGAGAAATTTCATTGCACCAATTGATAAGGTCTGTAATTAAGTTGATGTATAAGGCTTCTATTTCAGCCAGCTAGGGTGGTATCTTCAGATCTTATCATTGGAATGGTATCGTTTGAGCTTTGAATATCATTGGTATATATTTTATACATCACAGGGAATAGAAAGCAACCTTGTGGCGCCCCGATACTTATTTCTGTGGTTAGAGATACATGGTCATTTACCTTGAGAAATTGTAATTGATTTGCTAAAAAAATCATTATCTAAGCTTAAATATTTTAATTTATTCCTAACGAGGAATTAGTCCGTATCACAAGCTGCAGTTGGATAGTGTTAAATGATGATGAGAAGTCTAAGAGAGACCCTGGCATATTTGTTTAAGGCTGTGTATGTGATGGTGAAGTCTCTCCAACAATAGTAAGACGGCATCCTAACTGCATCTGTCAGGTTTATAAGCGAATTCGTGGGTGTCAAGTTTTTGCTGTACTTCATCAAAAAAATTTATCTCAGAAAAAGTATCTGAAAATCTATCATGACAACAGAGATAAGTGCAACAGGACGTAAATAGTTGTGGCAAGTTACCTTTTTTTTCTTTGGAATTGGTATGATTTCTGACGTTTCCCAAAATGTTTGCATAGCGTAAGTTACATAAGATGTATTCAATATATAACAAACAATCTAGGAGACCTGCTCTGAGGCATAGATTAACGAGCCGATCACTTAATCTTTCTGGTCCAGCGGCCTTGCCAGGGTCCACATTTCTAAAATAAAGACAGAACATACTGTTCTGTAAACAAGAAAGTATCCTCCTGTGTAGTGCTGCCTTCTTTAAATGAAATCCTCATTTTAATGTGTACACTTTTAACGACAATACAATCCATTTTAGTCGTTAACAAAATTCTTCACATACCTACTCAACAAAGAAACAGTCATGCTTAGGAATATATCCTGTTATTTGTGTTAGTCGAGATTAGCTATAATATTTTCGCTACTAGTTCGGATACTACAATGTTTCTGATAGCATACGTATAATTTAAAAACAATTTATTTATTCATAAACGTGAGTAATTTTGTCTCATTAAATGTAAATTTTACGTTGATTAAGACAGTATTTAAATAACATTACACATTCTCAACGACTTATGTTTGTAAAGCGTTTATAACACATTTTTCCTGTAGAGACAAATAAAAGAAAGGCTTACACAACAGCCCTCAAAGAGCTAGGGAGAAGGGACTGACAAAACAGTCAAGTAGAAGCTAGAATTAAATAATTACTGAGGAAGGAAATAGAGAAATTTACTCATCAGTTAATTAGATGCTAGACAGAGAGGAACCTACTCATCAGCCAATTAGAGTCTAGAATTAGAGGACCTTACTCATCAGACAATTAGAGGCTAGAATTAGAGGACCTTACTCATCAGACAATTAGAGGCTAGAATTAGAGGACCTTACTCATCAGACAATTAGAGGCTAGAATTAGAGGACCTTACTCATCAGCCAATTAGAGGCTAGAATTAGAGGACCTTACTCATCAGCCAATTAGAGGCTAGAATTAGAGGACCTTACTCATCAGCCAATTAGAGGCTAGAATTAGAGGACCTTACTCATCAGACAATTCGAAACAAGAAAGAGAAACACACAATAGTCACGTATGTGTTAGGAATAAATAGAGGAAAGTAACTAATGGATTTACACAACAGCCCTGTTACTAGCATCCATTCGTCTCACTTTGACGGTGGTGTAGACTTGGCAGGACGACATCCAAAAGGATGGTTGGCCGATTGGTCTGCATTGACTTAATCAAAATAGCAGGTGGTCTCGAGTTCAAACCCACCAATGCCAAAGACAATCACGACAATCTCAAGGACCCCGGGTGGATGGGACACGTTAGCCTTGGAAGGAAAACTGTAAACTCTAACCATGAGCAAGAATGATCAATAAAGTTATAGTAGACACTCACAATATTTATATTCTTCTTCTTGGGATTATAAGCGTGTACCCTACACAGCTGATCACCTATCTCTACGTCGATGGATAATGCCAGTGGCGTCCCAAGAACTTTCGGATAGTTTCATTGTATCAATGTTAACCGCCAAAGTGATCCCATCTCCAGGTTTGAATTCAGTTTCCTTCTCTTGGATAAGTTTCCATTAAAGTTTAGTTAAAGTTAAGTCACATCCAATTGGAGCGATGTTGATGTTTTTTGCTTGATTTTGCTCAGATGGTTTTTTGTCGAACTGTATATCTTAGTGTCACTTGCTCATCCACCCTTCGAAGCCGGACGCTCACCCGTGGGGCATCCTAGTCTATTACTTCACACAGACCAGTGCAACCGACATCAACGTTCTACTTCAACGATATATGCAGCTTAATCTCTCACACACAAAAACAAGCCACGCCGTGAATATCACACAAAGGCCATCCTTTCATTCTATCAACAACTAATGCGTAATTTCTCCTTGCCCAAATACGTCCTAACTCTCTCAAACAATAGATACGGCTACACATGAAATCTCTGTACTAAATATATTTTCCCTACCGAACAGGACAACAGTGATTTAGACATAATAACATTGATTCTCATACCCTTGGCATATACCCCTATTCCGCTTAGATTCTACTCCCCCAAGTAGAATCTTCCAAAAATGAATAGTCAGGGTATGGGAACACTGTTGGGTCATACAACAAAAAATTGACTCAAAACAAACAACCCTGTTAAAATTACACTGTTCCATCCTTATTCTAATTACATCAAAGTTACAGCACGTGTTAAATCATCATTGCATCGTTATTATATACAATATAACTACAGTGACGAATATAATAGCAAGACAATGTAACATTTGTAACTTCAATGTATACCTCTACCCTCTAATTACATAAATTTTAGACATTTAAAAAAAGAAAATCATGGATTAGTAGTATCGCATCTCAGTAAATACTATTCATAATAAGTCAAAGATGAAAATATTTACAACGACCAAAAGCTATCAACTCACTGAATCAATGTCAAACTCTGTTAATGAATCACGTTTACCTAATTATACAAGTGTCCAAAATAAGAAGAAGAAAAATGTCAACATCCATGAACTCATGTGGACAGCCATGCATTGTCCAATCTAATATTAGCGTTTAAGAGGTAAATATTTCGCTTGTCCGACGCCTGGTAAAAAAGCGTGCACAAATCTTCATTAAACTTAAAGTCTGAGAAATATCTGCTCTTAACCTTCCAGCACTACCAGCTCTCATGATATAAATCATTTACTACAGCCATAATTTTCTCCCCTAACCCCACCTCAAGGAAAAAGCTCACCTACTTTACGGAAACTATGTTTTTTTCTCTTATGTTATGTGCACTTCAATTACACAAATTTCGGTCAGCCACGTATAGCGTATGACCTATGACGTATAACCTTTGACTTATGACCTAAGACGTTTGAGATGTGATGCATGACTGCTGCGTCGTTTTGGAAAATGTACGTGAGAAAATGTGTTCACTTTTTGGGTTGCAAGCAACAGTGAACAATGCAGTTTGGTGAAGGATTGAGTTTGTATTTTCCTAATGATTTCTGGTGCATCGTTGCAGTGTTCATCGGGGATTATTTTTTTTTTTATATTTTGAACGTCCGTTATCTTATTACTGGTTACGCCTTGTTGTAGACTTGTTTTACACAGCGTATATACAATTAAAGATTGATACATAATTTAAAAAGTAACCAATACATTTTTTTTGGCATACCTAAACATCAGCTTTACAAGGGCTAGGAGAGGACAACGGCTACGCATATTATTTTATGTTACTTACTGAGAGGTGGTGGCCAGTCTTGGTGGCGTTTATCTGCAGCTGTCAGCCCTATTGAAGACAGATAGAAAAAAAAGACCTGCAAAACAGTCCATTTAAGGCCTGGAAGAAAAGGAGACTTGCACAACAGTCTTTTAAAAGCCTGGAAGCATACGACTTAAAAAAGCACTGTTAAGGCCTGGAAGAAAAGGAGACTTGCACAACGGTCTTTTAAAAGTCAGGAAGCACAGGACTTATAAAAGCACTGTTAAGGTCTGGAAGAAAAGGAGACTTGCACAACAGTCTTTTAAAAGTCAGGAAGCACACGACTTAAAAAAGCACTGTTAAGGCCAGGAAGAAAAGGACATGCACAACAGTCATGTTAATAGCAGGTGGAAAATGACTTGTGTAACGAACCGGTTCCTACCAGGGTTCGTTAGATGTGTTTTTTCTTGGGTTATTATATTAATTACACATTTCATATATTCTTAGAGTAACGTATCTTGATATATAATCCCCCGGCAAATTTCAAATAAGACGGGTAAACCACCAATTAGGCTATTTATAGATACGCCTGAGTGTGGTTCCTTTATGAGTTGACCAACGCATAAAATATAATTCCTGATTACTACGCTACATGATATTTATATATTTTTTTTAATAACGCACTTTCGTTTGGTGCGTTCTATTTTCTTTTCGGAAATTAAATCGTCTCAATTTAAGTATTGTGTAAAAAATATTCGGTTTAAATATTGTTTGGACATGAGAATATTAATATAGTTCATGGGCGTGACATAAAAAGTTTGCAGTGACGTATCATGGGGCAAGGGGTGTAGCAAACATTGGGATTCTTAAATGTGCGTCACTTGAGTTCATGTTTTGTCAAGTAACTTTACTCGATGGGAAGTTCATTGCTATCGCCAATGTTTGACGGGCTATACCTAGTACTTAATAACTTAACTACATGTCCAACTACCATTATTCAATCACACCAAACTACACTTTAACATCACGTAATTTACCCATCTTACAAAATACGTCACAAAATACTAAGCATAATAGTTCAAGCAACACATATACTCTCTAAAAAACGCAAAATTATAATAAAAATTCAAGTCCTTCACGACAAAGAAGCAAAAGAATTGCACAAAATCCCTGAAAGGACCAATGAGAAAATGACTTGTACTCTCTCTCTAATCTTTGCTGTTGTAGCTCAGTTGACAAATATGAGCTTGAAGAATTGAACTGGTTTGATCTTTGAAACTTGCAGCAACAAATGGCAGGTATTTAAACGACTCTCTGCCAAAGTCTTTTCCCAATGTATTCCGCAAGCTATTCTTGTTTCACTTACATTAATAACAACAACATTCATAGTGGACCCTTTCTTTACAACCATCCGACGATTTTAAATGTGGCATCGATCGACAAATCATGGTGATCTTCTATTTGGGTCATGTTTTCTAAGTGTATATCGTTTTAGTGTGAACAGAAATAAGGCAGGATTTATGCAGAAATTATTGAAATATGTGCAAAGAGTTCATTCCAGCTTCAGTTTCTTTTCGAACATGCTTTTAAAGAATATCAAGGAAGTTTTCAATTAAATGTTTACATTATGAATAAGTAGACCGCCCCTGGGGACAACTCCTGCATCCGTTCAAGATTGAACGCCCCTGGGGACAATCCTGCATACGTTCATGATTGACTGCCCCTGGGGACAACTCCTGTATACGTTCATGATTGACCGGCCCTGGGGACAACTCCTGCATACGTTCATGATTGACCACCCCTGGGGACAACTCCTGCATACGTTCATGATTGACCACCCCTGGGCACAACTCATGTATACGTTCATAATTGACTGCCCTTTGGGACAACTCCTACATACGTTCTTGATTGACTGCCCCTGAGGACAACTCCTGCATACGTTCATGATTGACCGGCCCTGGGGACAACTCCTGCATACGTTCATGATTGACCACCCCTGGGGACAACTCCTGCATACGTTCATGATTGACTGCCCCTGGGGACAACTCCTGCATACGTTCATGATTGACGCCCCTGGGGACAACTCCTGCATACGTTCATGATTGACCACCCCTGGGGACAACTCATGTATACGTTCATAATTGACTGCCCTTTGGGACAACTCCTACATACGTTCTTGATTGACTGCCCCTGAGGACAACTCCTGCATACGTTCATGAGTGACCACTCCTGGGGACAACTCCTGCATACGTTCATGATTGACCGCCCCTGGGGAAACTCCTGTATACGTTCATGATTGACCACCCTTGGGGACAACTCCTGCATACTTTCATGATTGACCGCCCTTGGGGACAACTCCTGCATACGTTCACGATTGACCGCCCTTGGTGACAATTCCTGCATACGTTCATGAATGACCGCCCATAGGGACAACTCCTGTATACGTTCATTATTGAACGTCCAAAGGGACAACTCTTGCATACGTTCATGATTGACAGCCCCTGGGGACAATTCCTGTATACGTTCATAATTGAACACCCCTGGGGAAAACTTCTGCATACGTTCATGATTGACCGCCCTTGGGGACAACTCCTTCATACGTTCATGATTGACCGCCCCTGGGGACACCTGCTATACATGTTTATGATTGACCGCCCATAGGGGCAACTTCTGCATACGTTTACGACTGACCGCCCCTGGGGACAACTCCTGCATACGTTCATGATGGACTGTGTTTATTTGTGTGTGTGTGTGTGTGTTCATTCTAGTTTCAATAGCAATTTGAACACTTAAGAGGATTGTCCCTCGAAATCAATGCCCGACAGATCTCATTAACTTTGTTGAATTTTGGTCTCGAGATTTAGTTTGTAGTCTGTTGATTTATACATGATAAGTGTCTAAAACAAGTGTTCAGAGCAACCCTAAGTTGAAGCTTGACTTAAATCTTCATCTGATTAGAAATGTTTGCACCGCCTCATGTCTTCACGAGACGGCATTAGGATGAAATTATGTTGGAGTAAGCTCATTTTGTTGGGCATAAACAGCTGTGTTTAATATTTCTTCTGTCAGCTTTGGCTTAAACATATATTGATTTTTTTCAAACCCTTTTTTCAGCCATTACGTCTTTCAGCAACCTATGAGACAATAAACAATATGAAAATTTATATAGCTCATTTTTAATGACTACAATCAATTTATTTAGTGTCATTTTTAATGACGACAAACAATTTGTTTAGTGTCATATTTAATGACAACAAACAATTTGTTATACGCTTTATTCATTGACAACAAACAATATGTCTAGTGTTGTATTTAATGAAACCGAACAATTTGTTAAAAATTGTAGTCGATGAACACGAATAATTTTTGTTATTGTTATATTCAATTATAACAAACTATATGCTTAGTGTTGTACTCACAGATAAGAAACAATGTTTAGAGTTGTATTCAAGGACGGCAAATATACGGGTTTGCCAATAATGTATGAATTGTGTACTGAACTTCTAGTCAATCGATTTTTTTAGACTTGACATAAAGTAGATCCTCTTGGTATTTCCATTAAAAAGGGGCGTGACTAAAGACGCATTATATTGCCACCGGCAAAGGCACACATCATAAAAACTCATCGGTTTGTAGATAGCATTGTTTGAATAGAACATTCGTTTTTAAAAACGTATTTTCTATCTGACATATTTATTCTATCTTATTATTTAAGCTGAGAAGAAGAAGAAGAATTTGTTTAGCAGGATAGAATTCACAGGCGTCTCTCACTATAACACTTCGGAATCTTAATGTCCATATTTTCACACAAAATGTATTATCAGCATGAGGTTCAACGATTTTTTTATGTTTTCCTTTCTTTGATACATGTAAATATTAATTTACAATATATTTTTTTTTCTAATTAAATTTTTTGCAGTCTTCGGCATATGATAAAAGTTTTAAATATGTTATCTTCCGTCTCTTGTCCTAATACATTTTTATCTTTGTGTTTACGTGTTTAAATTTGCACAAAGCAATTAAAAAAAAACGTTTAAAATGTTCCTTAGCAGCACCCCCAGTAATGTAACCCCCATATGTCCTGAAGCAGTACGCCCACTAATGTAAGCCCCATATGTCCTGAAGCAGTACGCCCACTAATGTAAGTCACATATGTCCTGTACTAGCCTCAACACTCATGTAAGTGAAAATGTCCTGTAGCAGCAAACCCACTAATTTCAGTCACAAATGTCCTATAGCAGCACCCTCACTATTGTAAGTCCCATATGTCCTGTAGCTGCACACCAACTAATGTAAGTCCCATATGTCCTGTAGCAGCACCCCCACTTATTTAATTCACGAGCCACCATATTCTAATGTGTTCTACCCACTCAAAAACAAATGGTTTGCTCAAACATGGTTATTGATTGTCTCTTGATTCTAATCGCATTAACAATATGTCAGATTTATTTCACACGTATCTCATTGGGTCTCAAATCTGGTACAAGCGTACCGTTACATAAGAAAATGCTTTCCATTTGTTAATCTGTGTGCACTGTCGTTTAATAAAAAGTAAGTGCACGTTATTGTGTGTACCTCTAAATTTATCTGAACCGTTGAAGTTTCTCCATCACAATCCCAACTTCATGACATTCCATTGAAACCATTCAAGCAAAACCTCACATCTATGCCATTCTTTGATATTTTTAATCACAATCTCACCTCCCTGACAATCCTTTTAAAAGATTTCCAACACAATCTCATCGCCATGTCATTCCTTCAAAAGATTTCCAACACAATCTCACCTCCTTGACATTCTATTTAAACGTTTTACAAATGACTTTTCATCACGTCTTTAATTGCCGTCATTTGATTTCGACCTTGAACTTTTATAGTAGAAATAACATTATTTTGTAGCAATAAATCTCTTAACTTGCTATTATCTTTGGAGTTGAAAAAAAAAATCTTTATGATCTGAATATATTGTGAAGCTTTAAACAACTGTGCGAAATTGAGGATTTTCAATTTAAAAATTAGAAGAAAAAAAATTGTGTTGGTCAGATTTAACGAATGATTTGAGGATATGTTGAACTAATTGATTAAATACCGTTAGAATCACTATAAGGACGTTTACAATAGCTTGGTTTTAAGATAAGCCCAAACGAAAGACAGTTTAATCCAAAAGTTTGAGACCTCTCTAGTAAGGTAGGTAATCTAATTTTTTTTTTAAAATTAGTTTAGATGTTAAGCTATTTAAGAGTGGTCTGACACGTCACTTGGTATCTCTTCAATCGGCGAAGCAAACAATAACTTTGGTGTTTGAGTTTCAACTTAGCCCAGAACCATGACTGCTTTGGTGAGTACAGTAAATAGATATGATGATTGAAAATATTTAGTGTCTATTAGATGTGCGATTGCAATTGTTAGAAAGAATTTACAAAGAACATCACAGAACATCAATCAATAGTCTTGCCCTGAGCAGCCTGACTGTTCAAAGCTTGTCATGCTTGGATATGAATATATTTGCCAAGAACAGTCGCTCTCAGAACTGACTGCCTTGCATTAGAAAATTGCTAAACGATTTGCCTCACAAAAGCCTGTCTCAGAATGAACTGCTCCAGAATAGTATTCCTCATAACAGCCTGCCACAAAACAGCTTCTTTCAAAACGGTATGCCTCATAACCGTGGAAATTAAAAAAAGCCTGTCTCAGAAATTGAAGCCTCTTAAAATCCAACAATAAGACATCCAGCATTCAAACGGCCTGTCACAGAATGGCCTGCCTAAAAACAGCCTTCGTCTCAAAGCAGCCTGTACAAGAACAGTCTGTCTCACAACGCACTGACACATAAAAGCAAGCCTAAGAACGGCATGTCCCGAACTATCTACCTCAGAACAGTCTGCCTCACATCGTCATTAATCAGAACAGCCTAGATCAGAACAGCCTGTCCTAGAACAACCCGCCTTAGACTGGTTATCAAATTTACATTGTGCCACAAAACAACCTATCTCAGATCGTCCTGACACAGCAAATCGTGACTCAAATCGGCTTGCCTGAGCACGACTAAATATGAACGTCTGTCCAGAATGGTCTGCCTCAGGACAGTCTGCCTCGGAACGGCGTGAATTCAGAACAACCTGGATTAGAACACCCTGCCCCAGAAAGCCCATGAACAATGAAGCCTGCAAAAAAACAAAATAACATGTTTCATAATTGCCTGTCTTATAACAACCTTGTTCAAAAAGATCGGTCACATTATTGCCTTAATCATAACAACCTTCTTCAAAAAGATCGATCACATTACAGCCTGCCTTCAAATGACTTTAATCATAACACCCTTCTTCAAAAAGATCGGTCAAATTACAGCCTGTCTTAGAACGACCTTAATCATAACACCCTTCTTCGAAAAGATCGGTCACATTACAGCCTGCCTTTGAAGACATTAATCATAACACCCTTCTTCAAAAAGATCAGTCCTATTACAGCCTGCCTTAGAACAACCTTAATCATAACACCCTTCTTCAAAAAGATAAGTCCTATTACAGCCTGCCTTAGAACTACATTAATCATAACACCTTTCTTCAAAAAGATCGGTCACTTTACAGCCTGCCTTAGAATGACCTTAATCATACCACCCTTCTTTAAAAATATCGGTCACATTACAGCCTGCCTTAGAAAGACCTTTATCATAACACACTTCTTTAAAAATATCGTTCACATTACAGCCTGTCTTAGAACGACCTTATTCATAACACCCTTCTTCAAAAATATCGGTCACATTACAGCCTGTCTTAGAACGACATTAATCATGCAACAAAGTGCCTCAGAACAAACCTACTCAGGAAACAATGTCACAGAAAGGCCTGTCTCAAAGTCTCCTTGCATAGAACGTCATGGATCATAAGAGTCTGTGTCATTAGTGCCTGCTTCAAAACGACAACCGGAATTACAGCCTGCCAGCTTGTCTCAGAACTTCCTGACACTGAAAATCCTGTCTCAGATCAACTTGTCTCAAAAAAATATGACCCACAATAGGTCCTTTCTGAACGGTCTGCCTCAGTACAGTCTGCCTCAGAATTGCGTTACTCAGATAGCCTGGATCAGAACAGCCTGTGTCAGAACAGCCTGTCTTAAACGGCCAGAAAATTAAAGCCTGTCACAGAAAAGACCGCCATAAAAAGTCACTTACACATAAAAGACTGACTCAGAACAAACCTTCTTAGAAAAGCTGCCTAAGAACGGCCAATTCAGAAGGTTCTGCTTCAGATCCGCATGCCTTAGAATGGCTTGACTCAAAGCATTAAAAAACAGTCTGGATCAGAAAAGCCTAACACAGAAAAGCCTAACTAATAACACACTTCTTATAAAAAAGAAGTCACATTACAGCCTGCTTCAGACCGACCTTAATCATAACAGTCTACTACAGAACAAACTGCCTCAGAACGACAAGTCTCAGAAAAGACTGCAACAGAACAGCCTGTCCCAGAGTATTCTGCCTCATAACATAACAGACTAAAAGAGAACAGCCTGACTTATTTGGCCAGTCTCGTAACAGCCGTTCACAGGACAGCCTTTATCATAAGAGCCTGCAACAGAACATGTCTCCACACGTCATGCCTAGAACAACCTGCCTCAAAACAGCCTGTCACAAAATATTCTGCCTTATTATTGCAGTCTACAGAACAACTTGCTAAATAAGAGCCGCTTTCAGAACAATCTGCTAAGGAATAGCCTTCTGATAGCAGCCTTTTAAACAATGGACTGCCTTAGACCAGACTTCATCTGAATAGCTGCCTTCCATATTACACTCTGTTAAAACATCCTGACTAAGAACTGCTTGCCTTAAAATAGCCTGCCAGTAACAGCCTTCCTCGTACCAGCTTGCAACAGAGAAACCTGCCTCCGATTGACATTTTCTCAGAATAGCATGTCAATGACCAACCTGATTAATAAATGAATGTCCCAGAACAGCTCGCCTAAAAAACGAATGTCTGTGGATAGACTGCAACTCAAAGACCTCCAACATTAAAGCCTTTCTCAAAGCAGGCTGACTAATAACCTGGATCCTCACACAGTCAGCCTATCAGAGACTTCCTTATAAAAGCTTGCAACAGAATGCCTGACACAGAGTTGCTTTCCACAGAACGATATGTCTGAGAACATCTTGGCTCGAAACAGCCGCTCGCAGAATATCCTGCCTCATACCGTCATTCAACAAAACAATCTACCGCAGAATAACCTGTCCCAGAAAGACCTTCTTCATAACTGACTGATTCAAAACAGCCTTAGTCGTGATAATGTGCCACCGAGAAGAGTTCGCATAACAGCCTTCAAGATAACAGCCTCTCCAAGTACGGAATATCTCACAACCTGACTTAAATGAACTACGTGTATCAGAACAATTTCTTCAGAAAAATCCACCTCATAACACCTCGCCAAAGAACAGCATGTCCAATAAAAGCAATCTTCAGCTCGGCCTCCCACCTTAAAGCCTGCTATAGAACAGCACGACACAGAAGGACCGGTCTTATTAGAGTCTGCCAAAGAGAGGCCTTTATCAGAACGGCTTATCTTAAAATGGTCCGGCTCATAATAAATGACACAGAACAGCCTGACTAGGATTGACCTGCCTAATCGTACGGTATAAGAACAGCTTGTCTGCATCATAATGGCCTGCCCAAATACAACCTTCTTTAGAAGGGACGGCAATAAATATAATTATTTATAACATTCTGCAATAGAATAGCATCCCCCATAATAAGCTTGTCTAAAAACGCCCTGCCTCTAAACAGACTGCCTTATAATAGCCTGCAAAAATACAACTTTACTCATAGCTTGCCTAAGAACAGCCTGTCTCAGAAGAGCATGTCATTGAAACGACAGCATTTTAATATCCGGCCTGAGAACGGCCTGTCACAGAAGAGCTGGCATAACAACCCCCTGCTTTATAATAGCCTGCCACAGTGGAGTCTTTATCATAACTGCCTGTAACAGATCAACCTCCTTCAAAATGGTTTGCCTCAGAACAGACTGTCACTGAAAAGCATTCATCATAACAGTCTGCCTTGGAACACCCGTCCATATAACAGCTTGCCTTAGAACGGAATGTCTTAGAACCGCATGTCTCATATCAGCCTACCTCAAATCAGCCTTTCTCAAAGCAGCCTGCCATAGAACAATCTGCCGCTGAACGGCCTGACTCATATCAGCCTACCTCAGATCAGCCTTCCTCATAGAAGCCTGCCTTGCCGCTCAACTGCCTGATTCATATCAGCCTACCTCAGATCAGCCTTCCTCATAGAAGCCTGCCTTAGAACAATCTACCGCTGAGCGGCCAGACTCATATCAGCCTAACTCAGATCCACCAATCTCAAAACAATCTACCTCATTCCTGCTTGCTCATAACAGCATGCCACACAAAATTTTTCCTCGTATCAGCCTGCCATAGATTAGTAAAAAATTAGAATACCCTGCCTCTGAACAGCATGTTCCAGAATGGCCTGCTTAAGAACATTCCGTTTCAGAACATACTGGCTTATTTGATTGCACACGAAAGCTGCTGTAGGTCTATTCAAATACTTCGGGTGTTGTAAACCATTATTGTTTATGAAACTTCATGAGCTCATCAGCTTCGAAACATTTGATAACAGCAATATATTAACTGGTCTAATGAATTTATGAAAAAAGTCTGTGTGTGTGTTTTGGAGATGGTAGTCTAATTTTTCAAATCTTTTCTATCAATTTTTTTATAAAAATCTTTCAATCGTGTGTCTGAGTGTGTGTATGTATGTGTGTGTGTGTGGTTAAGGGGGGAGCGAGGTTATGCATTTAACGTATCTATATATGGTTTTACAAATTTAATATTGTTTAAAATAATTTTGCCCGTTACATAAACAATAAGTAACAATGGTGTCAAGAAAAACGATACCAAAAAAGAATATCAATAATTACTGATTCAAGTCAATATAAGTCTGCTTGATAGCGGCATTTTTCAGACAGAAGAAAAAGAAGAAAGTGCGTCAACGTCAAGAAACTTTCAAAAGGATTCAAACAGAAAAAGACAAAAAATAAAACGCATTTAGAGTCAAATAGAGACAAGAGAAGAGTCTTAGGGCCGACGAGAACCTATTGCATAATCTCATTAACAGAGGAGAAAACAGGAAAGCCTTAACATACAGAAACACGAGTAGCATCAGAAGAAGAATATATACAACAGTGACGAACACTTGGAAACACTCGAGCACATCCACCTGCATATCCTTGCATATCTCGATATCCTCCACAAAAGTCTGTCAACACAGTTTTTCCAAGCAGTACACATTTCCTTGAGAAAATGATATCATACAACAACGATTTGTCATTACCCTTAAGTGGCGCTACTATCTGTGAATTGTCAGGAAGAGACCCATACGTCTTCATAGTAAATCGAAATACGATGCATTTTCAGCAAGAAACACGCCATTTATCTCAATACGTGACACGCTACATAGTAGACATCACTAAACCCATATACATTCATTAAGAACATGCCGCGAACGAACAGTGCAACCCACGCTCTCTGGATCAAAACAATCTCTTCCTCAAACAACACCATATAACCAGATAAGACATGAGATGATTGTGAAGTAGAAGCTTAAAAAGATAGAAAGCAATACTTGCAGGATATCAGATTCCATTGTTCAACATGGTGTTTCAAACGAAATCGCCAGTCGCATCCATGTTGTTTTATCATGAAACATAGAATGAATATAAATGTTGATATCAAGAGTTTATGAGTGATGTTGAGGTCACGCTAGTTAATCGATCGTGTTTGATAGTTTTGTGTTGATGAGAAGATATTTCCCCCTAACGGATATTGTGCTAAGACGTAAAATGAACCCTATTATTTCATGAAGTGTTGCAGACTCTAGCAATCGGAATGCATGACTTTTAGTGCATAGATTAACAGTGTGAGAGTCTACTATAAGCAAATTTTGACAGAAATACTCAAGGGGTCTTGATTAGAGAAACCAGAAAATTTTGACGTTCCAAACAATGAAAAGGACGAAAATCACCCAACTCAAAAACAAGGACAACTGCTGTAAAGCAAATATGAACAACTATTTGCCCCAATGTTGTTTTGAAACAATAGTTTCTATCTCTGAATGTTTTGCTTTAAACATTTCGTACAATACAAATTTAACCTTTCAAAGCTCTTTCTCCTAGAAACTCTAGCGTACCTTCTATTAGAAACTAAGGACACATCATTTCATAACTTCTATATGAGCAATAAGAAAAATCTTGTCATAAATTCCATATGATCAATAGAAAAAATCTTTTGATAACTTCAATATGAAAAATAAGAAACTTCTTGTCATAACTTGAAGTCAAAACTCGTTTTACTTATAATTTTTTCCAAAATTTTGATAAAGCTTTCAAAAAAGTTATTGTTATAAAAAATGTAAAAAAACATTAAAAGAAAAATTCTTTGCCTCGTGGGTTTCCTCGTCTTTATCTAGTATTGAAATAGACCAAAGAGTCAATTCCTTTTTATTATGTTACTTTAATTTACAAAAAAACATTTCTTTTTCTTTTTTAGACGTACAGCAAGGCAAAAGGATAATGCTAGATTGGTGCAAAAAATTAATCCGAATTCCAAAAATGAAAAAAATAAAATACTAGAATAGTTCAAAGATTAATCCACATCCACGAGAGAAAAAAGTGTCATACTAGAATGGTGCAAAAAAAAATTAACAACATTCACGAAGTGGAAAGAGTATAATACTGGAATGGGTACAAAAATTAATCGACATTCACAAAGTGAAAAAAAATATTAGAATGGTGCAAAATTAGTCAACATTCACAAAGAAAAAAAAAATATAATACTAGAATTAGGCATAACTTAATCTGCATTCACAAAGTAAAAAAATAAAATACTAGAATGGTGCAAAAATTAATCCACATTCTCAAAGTGAAAAATAGTGTAATTCTTTTAAGGTTAGTAAGTCTCGTGAGTCTGTTGGTCGTCGTATTTATAGTGAAGCTATCGAAAACCTCCAGAACAAAAAGTCTAGAAGTTGAATAGTCATAGAGTAATTTCAATGTCTCAGTAGACTTTCTGGAAATTGTAAACACACTTTCCCAATCCAGTAAAGTGAGATAAATGTAACAACCCGAATCACAAATTTAATTGGTAACGACAGTAACTAAATCATAAGGGGAAACAAGGGAACATAATTAGGTAAACACGGTTTATAACGGACCCATGAAAAACTCTTTAACAGTTTCTACAATGCGTTCTAAAAATTATGTACAACTTACTATATAACACTCTGTAATAGACTACACCAATTATGTCATCATGCAATTGAAGAACACATCAAACTCAATCAGCCTTGTAATAGACTACACCAATTATGTCATCCTGGAAATGAAGAACACCTCAAACTCAATCAACCTTGTAATAGACTACACCAATTATGTCATCCTGGAAATGAAGAACACCTCAAACTCAATCAGCCTTGTAATAGACTACACCAATTATGTCATCCTGGAAATGAAGAACACCTCAAACTCAATCAACCTTGTAATAGACTACACCAATTATGTCATCCTGGAAATGAAGAACACCTCAAACTCAATCAACCTTGTAATAGACTACACCAATTATGTCATCCTGGAAATGAAGAACACCTCAAACTCAATCCGCCTTTACAAAATGTTTGATACTTTTGAAGTCAACGCAAAAGTACACTTGGACAATCACACAAATACACATGGCTATCCGTGCAAATACTAATGTCTAACCACGCACATACACATGGATAAAAGCAAATACACATGGTTAACCACGCACATACATAATATGGGTACCACACACATACGCATTGATAAAAACATACATACACATGGTGGACTACGCACATACATATGGGTAACCACACACATACGCATGGCAAACCACACACATATACATGGATAAAAACACACATACACATGGTGAACTACGCACATACACATGGGTAACCATACACATACACTTGGCAAACCGAACACAAAAACATGGTTAAACCACTCACATACTCAAGGATAACCCCCATAATACGCATTGCTAACCGTACAAATACACATGGGATTATTATGTAATTAAAAAATGCCGAGTTTTGATTTTAATATCATTTTATTTTTACACAGAAATATCTATTGCTGCTTTTTCTAATGAACCATTACGTCCCAGTGCGCTGTCAGGGTAAGTATTATTGTAATAAGCTATAAACGTCCCAGAGAGTTGTAAATGTTAGTATGATTGTAAAAAGTCATAATGTCTCAGTGATTAATCCAGGTAAGTATTATTGTAATAAGCTATAACGTCCGAGTGAGATGTCAAAGTAAGTATTATTGCACTAAGCCATTAGTTCCCAGTGAGTTTTTCAAGTTAAACTTTATTATAATAAGCCATTACTTCCTAGTGAGCTTTCAAGTTAAAAAAATATTGTAACAAGCTATTACTTCCCAGTGAGCTTTTCAAGGTAAACATTGTAATAAGCCATTATTTCACAAAGAGCTGGCAAGGCAAGTATTATTGTAATTAGCTATTACTTCCCAGTGAGCTTTTCAAGGTAAACATTATAATAAGCCATTATTTCACAAAGAGCTGGCAAGGCAAGTATTATTGTAATTAGCTATTACTTCCTAGGAAGTTTTTCAAGGTAAATATTATTTTAATAAGCCATTACTTCCCAAAGAGCTGGCAAAACAAGTATTATTGTAATAAGCTATAACGTCCCAGTGAGTTTTTCAAGGTAAATATTATTGTAATAAGCAATTACTTCCCAAAATGCTGGCAAGAAAAGTATTATTGTAATAAGCTATATCATCCCAGTCAATTGTCAAGGTAACAAGTATTGTAATATGCTATTACGTCCCGGTGAGTTGTCAAGGCAAGTATTATTGTAATAAGCTATAACGTCCCAATGAGTTGTCTAGAAAAGATTTAATTTAATTATAATAGTTGTGATTATTATTATTTTTTTTTAATCTATAGTAAAGCCTTTGATCATGTTTTTTTTTTTTTTTAAAGTATGTTTTTCACCTTGATGTAGGCCTTTAACGTAAGAGGTGGCATGTTATACTCAATCTTGTTTAGTTGGTTAACTTGTTGTAGGCCCCTTTTTTTTAATTTGAAGAAGACCTTGCTTTATGATAATATAGTATTTGGTTCAAATTGTTGAAGGTGTCAATTCCTAAGTTAACTTTGATTAATTAATTCGTCAAGAGTTTTCACGCTTTGAATACCTCGTACTATTCTTACTATCACTGAATAAACTCAAGTTCTTTTAATAATATTTGTAGCTTTAATGTCTAAGGATATACTATACACATCAACGCATGAATGTTGCGCTGCTCGCTATCAGACATAAATAATACACATCCTACTTCTACAAAGTTCCACTTAAGACGGCTGAACGACTAAAACGTACGCAACAATACTGTCTAGACAATACGTCACCCTCATCATTAAAATACGTCACAGAGTCAAGGTCGGGAAGGGCGTTCACTAACTAATTACAACTCTCAAACACACAACGCACTTTATGAACATAATATCCAGTCGCAACTATTACTAATGAACTCCTATACTTGACAGAAGGCCTTGGTTAAATTTTATGTACGCTTATTTCAAATTGTTGTAGGCCTTGTTTCCGCTTGATGGAGGCCTTAGTTTAAAATGATGTGGGCCTTTTTTCACTTTGACGTAGGCTTTCGTGCTACCCTATGTAGCACTTTTTCGACTTAATATTGACTTTGTTTCAACTTGATATAGGCTTTTGTGCTACTTGATGTAGCTTTTTTTCGACTTAATTTTGACTTTGTTTCAATTTGATGTAGGCCTTTGTGCTACTTGATGTAGCCCTTTTTCGACTTAATGTTGGCCTTTGTTCAATTTGATGTAAGCCATGTTTTAAATTTTGTGTAGGCCTTTGTTCAACTTTATTGGGCATACAATTATTTGATGTCGGCCTCGATTAAACATGATGTAGGCCTTTGTTCAACTTGATGTTGGCCTTGGTTTAATCTGATGTGGACCTAGGTTTAACATGATATATGACTTGGTTCAACATGATGTAGGCAAATAATATTTGTATCAAATAAAATAAATTGGTATGAATTTAGTTATTTTGAAATATTTGATGATTTCAATTCTTTTTGTAGTCTTCAAAAAAGTTTGTAAATCACAGTATTGATGGCATAAATCAAACTATTTAAAAAAAAATAAATAAAAAAAATTCTCGTAAAGCTTTGTCTTCTTTAGTATGAGCAGTTGTTTCCCTTTAGAAGGGTCATTAAACCATTAGCTTTGTCTTGTTTAAGATGAGCACCCGCATGTCTTTAGAAGGGTTATTGAACCATTAGTGTTGCCTTCTTTAATTTAAGCAGTTGTGTATTTTAGAAAGGTCATAGAACAATTCATTTTTCCTTCTTTAATACGAGCAGTTGTGTCTCTTTAGAAGGGTCATTGAACCATTAGCTTTGCCTTTCTTTGGTATGAGCTGATTTGTCTCTTTAGAGATGTCATTAAACCATTAGCTTTGCCTTATTTAGTATGAGCAGTTGTGTCTCTTAAATTGAACCATTCCTTTTCACATGTTTAATATAAGCTCCTGTGTTTTTTAGAAGAGTAATTGAATCATTAGCTTTGCCTTCTTTAGTATGAGAAGTTGCGTCCATTTAGAAGGGTCACTGAACCATTAGCTCTACTTTCTTTAGTATGAGACGTTGTGTCTCTTAAGATGAGTCACTGAACCATTAGCTTAGCCTGTCTTCATTATGAACAGTTGCGTTTTTTTTAGAAGGCTCATTGGCCATTAGTGATGCATTCTTTAGTATGAGAAGTTGTGTCTATTTAGAGGGGTCATTGAACTATAAGCGTATTTAAATTAAATATATAGCTTGAAAAGTAAAAAAAAAAGCGAGAATGGTGTTTGAATATATGTTGACATCTCTGTGCTAATAGACTTTACAATTTAATCGAATTCAAAATCTTTTTTTTTTCAGCATGTCTTTTTTATCATTATGTCTCTGCTTTCAGCATGCCGTTATTATCATTATGTCTCTGTTATCAGCATGCCTTTGTTATTCTTATGTCTCTGTTATCAGCGTGTCTTTGTTAATATTATGTCTCTACTATCAGCATGTCTTTGTTATCATTATGTATCTGTTATCAGCGTATCTTTGTTATCATTATGTCTCTGTTATCAGCGTGTACTTGTTATCAACAAATTTTCTGATTCAATTTAATTTCAATGTACAATTCTTTTATAAATAGACTGCACCCCCATCATGGCAAATCTGGACAAATTTATAAAATTTGACAATATGGGGACGACGTATTACACGTCGAAAGCCCACTACTCTGATGCCGTTCAATCTGCTGCTATGTGCAAATCAATCTGTGGACACCTCAGTGAGATAGAAGATAAAAAAGAAGAAGAACTAGTCCATGCTTTGCTTAAGCGTTTAAACTACGGTGGCGTTTTGATAGAAGGGACAAACAAGTACGACAAGTCCAAATGGGAGAGCGAGAGGACCCTAAAGAAAATAAACTACGTCAACTGGTGCCGTGGGGAACCCAATAATCATCTTAAAAATGAAAACTGCTTGACTTACATGAAAAATTGGGCTTGCATGTGGGACATCCCTTGTGTTTATGATTACAGAGCATTTGACATTCATTACTTATGTGAAGTCAAAAACACTTAAGACTGATGAAAGGATTATACATTGATTTATGGATGTTTGGGTTCGGAATTTTAATTCTAAATTCCTCGTGACCTTGTTATCAGAATGCCTTTGTTATCAACAGGACTTTGTTGCCAGTATTTCATTGGGTTTTTAAAAATTAAAACAAGACAGTCAACGCCAGACGTTAAAGAAGATGTGGTCGTAAGAAAAAAAAATATTTTTAAAACATGTGTTTAATTAGAATGATTCAAGCCATTCTTAGACTATTTCATAACATTTTTTTAAAAACATTATTCTTAAAAAATATAAAATTTCTGATGGTATCGATCATACATATGTAAAGTAAAATTATTAAAGTATGGTTGATTTTCAGCCACTTTGTAAACACATTTTCTGTTAAAATACGTAATTCTAAAAAAAAACGGGAAGTGTTAAATTTATTTATTTCAAATAAACAAAATAATTTAGAAATCTTAAAATATATTTGTTGTCTTTATTTTTGGAAGGAAATTATAATCAATGCACTTTTTTTTTTTCCTTTTCTTTGGCATTGATTTACATTTCAATCTTATCATTCCTTGTTTGGTATTGTAGAGAGTTCAGCCCCGGGTGTCTGGCTAATTGACACACGTGGCAGATAAATTATGACGAGGAATACAGGGGATGTCAATGATGTGGGGTAAACCCACAGTCGAAAACTGACCAACAAGCACGCGCATAAGATTGCAGCCTACGTTGACCGTTGATAAATTAAGACGTGGAATACAGCGGGCAGGGATGAGGGGTAAAACCCACTGTCGAATAGTGGAGAATCACACGCGCATAAGATTGTAGCAGACGCCACAGAACCAGAAAGCACGCGTTTGAAAGGAAATTGCTATAACTCAAGACTTTAGGAGGCAGGGGACGTAATCAGGCAGGCGTGAGATGAGAAGGAAAACCAACGGTACCAAGACTGACTGTCGAACCGTTGAATCTGTTGTGTTGTAATTATCCACTCGTGGCAATGAGTGTCTACTTGTCTGGTCAAGTCTCTCACTTGATCACACGAGCAGTATAGCTAATGTCAACAGTTAATACTACAACCAACGTCACAGGTTTGTAGCTAGGTAGGAGTTTATTTAACATTACTCCATTTTCTAGGGTTGATGTATAATTTCAGAATTGATAATCCAATTACTCGATATAGCAATCCAAACAGTTCGTCCAGTATATCCGCCATCAATCTTCCATCAGAACATCGACAAAAACTAACGCGTCATATCCCCTTACACAATTACGTCACAACACTCTCACACAAACGATACAGCTACACATACAATCTCTAACTAAACATCTTTTCCCTATCCAACATGAAAACAATGATCTACATATAAACAATAGTGATTCTCATACCTTTGACATATCCCCCCTCTTCCGCTAGATTCTACTCCCCACGTAGAATCTTCCAAAAATGATAAGTCAGGGTATGGAATAACTGTTGGGTCATACTGACTCATACAGCGAGTAACAATCTCAAACAAGTAATCCTATATGTATTATAGTGTTTACAATCATTAATCTAATTACATAAATTTTTCACGCATAAACAACAACAAAAATCATGGGTTATTTATATCATATCTAAGTAATTTATGTTCATAATAAATCAACGAAGAAAATCCTTACAATAGCATGATGATTTTACAACTAATCATCTGTAACATAAAACATTTTTTTAAAAATCGTTATCTTCACCTCCCAACTCATGGACTTGAAAACTCACCTCCTCCACAAACAATGTTTTCCCCTGACTATTGTCGAGATAAAAAGTCTGCAATAGTGTTTTTTTCTCCCTTGATATATTCAATGTCAAAATTGAATTTCTGTAAAATTAATGCCCATCTGGTGACTCTCGAATTACATAATTTAGCAGTATTTAGATATTTTAATGCTTGGTGACCACATTGAAGAATAAATCTTGCACCAAAAAGATAATAAAGCCAATTTTTGAATGCGCCATATTATGGCCAAGCATTCCCTTTCTATTTTTGAATAGTGCGTTTCCCTATCCATTAGTTTACGACTTATGTACTTAACGGGATGAATGATGTTGCTTCTGTTCTGTAAAAGACATGCCCCCATTCCCTTGGTGGAAGCGTCAGTTCTAACTGTAAAAGTTTTGCTATAGTCTGGTAACATTAAAATAGGTTTATAGTAAAATACTTTTGTATTGTGTCTAATGCCTGTTTGCATTCAAATGATCAAATGTGTCTTCAGTTCTTCTTCGTATATTTGAGGGGCCCACGATCAATGTGTTGATCATTCTGGCTCCTGGTTTTAATTCAGAGTTTTCCTTCTCTTAGGTGGGTTGCCGCCCAAGGCCAACGAGTCAAATCCACCCGTGGTGCTTGGGATGGCCTTGATTGGGATTGAACTCCGGACAAACGGCTATTTGGTTTGAGACAGTTTATACCACTCGGCCACCCAGCACCCATTCGCCCATCCAAATGATATTATTCGGTTTACCTTTTTGTGTTAGGTCCGTCAAAGGTGCCGTAATTGTAGAAAAGTTAAGTATGAACTTATTGTAATAAGAAAATAGACCCACCAAACTTCTAACTTGTTTCTTGGTCCCTGGGCTCTCTATTGTCAACAATTTTTTTTAAATTGTTGCGTCCGGTTTTAGTAATCCACCTCCTACAGTGTGTCCCAAAAAATTAATAAAATTTTTCCCCAACTCCAACTTACATGGTTTAACGTTAAATCCAGATTCCTTCAGGATAGTGAAGACTTGCCTCAGGACCTTTATATGGGTTTCCCAGTCCTCTGTATGTATGCAAATGTCATCAAAATATGTCACTGCGTGATCTAACTGCCCGAAGAGTTGCCTTATTATCCTGTTAAATGTTGCCGGGGCGGTAGCTATTCGGAACGGCATATATTTAAATTGATATAGTCCCTCTGGCCCATAAAAAGCAGTATATTCTTTACTAGCGTCGTGTATTGGTATCTGCCAGTAGCCCTTAGTTAAATCTAATTTACTAAAAAAACATTGCTTTTGCTATGTGAGCCAGTGTCACATCCTGATTTGGAATAATTTCAGCAACCGTTCTAGTTACAGCATTAAGTCTCCTATAGTCGACACAAGTTCTTAACGAGCCATATTTCTTCTTTATTAACACTAAAGTTGAAGAATATGGTGAGTTGATTCTTCTATGATTTCCAGGTCCAACATAACTTTAATTTCTTCCCTTAGCTTTCCCGTCATATGAGCTGGGATAATGTAGGGTTTTAATGTTATCGGTTTTTTATCTAACAGTTCAATTTTATATTCTCATATTGATGATTTTCCCGGAATATCAGAAATTAGTCCTTGAAATTCATGTAAAATCTTGTTTATTTCTTCCATATGTTTATCATTTAATTCCTTATTAATGTCTACCTCCGTGGATTCAGCTACATTTATTGTCGGTACATTCAGTTCTTCCTCGTCTGTGTTTGTGCTGTCCTCTGCTATCACCACGGCCACCCCAACATGGTTAACGTTAATTTTTTTCTCCTCCTTATTGATAGTTGATCCCATTCTGACAAAATACTTGACAATCGTATTGAGATGATAAACTTTCTTCGTATGTCCTCTTTTAAAATCAGAATTAAATTTTGATATAATTCTAGTTACTTCATACGGTCCCGCTGAAATCAATGTCAACTTGTTTCCTTTCCTTGACTCACACACTTATACTTTCTCGCCTATTTGAATTTCTTTTACAACTGCATTGTGGTCATAATATAATGTATGGTTTGCTGTCTTAGCTTTTGTGTTGGCTTGGGCCTCCTCCAAACCGGTTTTCAATCGATTCCTCAGATCAATAATGTATTCATATATGGGTTTATTTTCTTCATCAATATTTTCTTTTGTAAATAACGTTTTTAGAATGGACATGGGGCCTCTTACTTTTCTACCAAACATCAATTCATTTGGTGAAATCAACGTGGTCTCATTTGGGAACTTCCCTGTAGGCAAAAAGTATGGCCGGTAAAAAAATGACATGTAGAAACACGCCCACTAATGTAAGTAACAAACGTCCTGTAGCAGCTACCCCAATAATGTAAGTCACAAATGTCCTGTAGCAGCACGCCCACTAATGTAAGTCACAAATGTCCTGTAGCAGCAACCCAACTAAAGTAAGTCACAAATGTCATGTAGCAGCAAGCCCACTATGTAAGTAACAAACGTCCTGTAGCAGCAACCCCAATAATGTAAGTCACAAATGTCCTGTAGCAGCACGCCCAATAATGTAAGTCACAAATGTCCTGTAGCAGCACGCCCACTAATGTAAGTCACAAATGTCCTGTAGCAGCACGCCCACTAATGTAAGTCACAAATGTCCTGTAGCAGCACGCCCACTAATGTAAGTCACAAATGTCCTGTAGCAGCACGCCCACTAATGTAAGTCACAAATGTCCTGTAGCAGCACGCCCACTAATGTAAGTCACAAATGTCCTGTAGCAGCAAGCCCACTATGTAAGTCACAAACGTCCTGTAGCAGCAACCCCAATAATGTAAGTCACAAATGTCCTGTAGCAGCACGCCCAATAATGTTAGTCACAAATGTCCTGTAGCAGCACGCCCACTAATGTAAGTAACAAACGTCCTGTAGCAGCATCCCCAATAATGTAAGTCACAAATGTCCTGTAGCAGCACGCCCACTAATGTAAGTCACAAATGTCCTGTAGCAGCAACCCAACTAAAGTAAGTCACAAATGTCCTGTAGCAGCAAGCCCACTATGTAAGTCACAAACGTCCTGTAGCAGCAACCCCAATAATGTAAGTCACAAATGTCCTGTAGCAGCACGCCCATTAATGTAAGTCACAAATGTCCTGTAGCAGCAACCAAAATAAAGTAAGTCACAAATGTCCTGTAGCAGCAAGCCCACTATGTAAGTCACAAATTCCTGTGCAGCACGCACACTAATGTAAGTCACAAATGTCCTAAGCAGCCAACGCATTAATTTTAGTCACAAATGTCCTGTAGCAGCACGCCCTCTAATGTAACTCAAAAATGTCCTGTAGCAGCGCGCCCATTAATGTAAGTCACAAATGTCCTGTAGCAGAACGCCCACTAATGTAAGTCACAAATGTCCTGTAGCTGCATGTCCATTAATGTAAGTCAGTAGTGTCCTGTAGCAAACACAACCACTAATGTAAGTCAAAAATGTCCTGTAACAGCACGTCCACTTTTGTAAGTCACAAATATCCTGTAGCACCAGCCCAACTAATTTAGTCACAAATGTCCTGTAGCAGCACGCCCATTATTGTAAATCACAAATATCCTCTAGCAGAACGTCCATTATGTAAGTCACAAAAGTCCTGTAGCAGCACGCCCACTAATTTAATTCACAAATGTCCTTTAGAAGCACCCCAACTAAG